AAGGTTTTTTTGAATATGAACAACAAGTGTGTAGAATATGAACAACTTCAGAAAAGCTGGTTCACTGTGGAATTTCCATAGAAATCTGAACTGACTGGCGATTGTTGTGGATTTCACCAACATTCCCAATACATCCTCAAAATATATTTTGAAAGTGAATACTCTTCCTGCTTGTTGAACAGGGTTCTCTAGCCACCGGCTGAGAGCTATAATCAGATGTTCTAGTGATGTTCTGTAGAGACCCTTTCTCCTTAAAGTGTAGCTGCATAGGCTCGATGTATTTTTGATTTTAATAATGCCGCTGCTATGTTGTATATGCCAGTGTAGCTAAATGAATGCAGTTTTATGATTATTCGTGTCCTGACTTCAAGGCTGAGGTGACCAAAGGAGCACAACTGGATTGGGTTTAAAAACAGACATGGATGCCTTTGTTTGTCTGGATACTGTAAATCTGGTAAGCATGCAACATGGAGTAAAAGAAAATAGTTCCATTGGAGGCAAAAGAGAAGCAGGGCCAGCTATGCTTAAGAGAGTATGTTAAGGACTGCTTTTTCTCACTGGAACCTGTTTGCCTCTTAATGTAGATGGCATAGTCTACTGGAATATATAGAGAATATATTCTCCATGGGGCACTCATTTCAGAAGGGTAGGGCTACTCTGCAAGTGTTGTTTGGAGATATAAACTTTGTGGAATCATAGAATAGTAGAGTTGGAAGGGGCCATGAAGGCCATCGAGTTCAACCTCCCTCTGTTGCAGGACACCAAGTTACAGCATCCCACTCAGATGGCTGTCCAGGTTCTTTTGGAATGTCTCTAGTGTGGGAGAGCTCAGCACCTCTCTAGGCAGCAGGTTCCACTGCCGTATTGCTCTGAAAGTGAGGAGGCTTTTCCTGAAATCTGGGTTGTCGCAGCTTGACTTGAGTATTTGGTCCTACACTCTGGTATGAGCAAGAAGAGATCTTGACCTTCCTCTTTGTGACAGCCTTTGAGGTACTTATAGAGGGATACCATGTTCCCCCTCAGCCTTTACTTCTCGAGACTGAAGATTCCCAGTTCTCTCGTTGTACCATAGCATTCTTTCTGGAGTGTTCTAAGCCTTGGAACATCTGGCCACTCAACCTGCTGCTGCTTTTAAGTAAAGATGAAGGAGGGAAAAATCAAGCCATCCTCCATTCACTCATACTTAGAGCAAAACTTCCCTAGTCATGGCAGGCCACAGAATTTCTCTCTCAATAGATATACACACACCACTGCATTCCCATTTAAATCAAAGCAGCTATTTCAGAGGACTGCAGATGATATTAAGGCAGGTGGGGGATGATAAATTCAAAGGGAGACTGCAGCCAAGAAATTTGAGCACTACTGAGACTTGGAAGAGCCTTAATGAAGGAACTGGAAAAGGTCATCAAGTGCAAGGATGTTTCACTTGAGACCAAGGCCAAGATCATACCTACTATTGTATTCCCAACCCAAATGGATGGGTGTGAAAGCTGGACAGTGAAGAAACCTGACAGTAAGAAAATGGATGCATTCAGAGCATGGAGATCTTTGCAAGTACCCTGGACCAACAGAAAGATGAGCAAGTGGGTCCTGGATCAAATCAAGCAAGAGTTTTTCTTAGAAGCAAAAATGACAAAACAGGGTCTGTCATGCTTAGGCACATCATGAGAAGGCAAAACTCCCTGGAGAAGACAATCTTGCTGAGTAAATTAGAAGGCAACAGCGGCAACAGTTGGAGACCAAATATAGGAACCTATAAAGGACACCACTTAGAAAAACTGAGCAGGACTGTGGTGCACAGGACATTCTGGCTGGCTTGTATTCCTGGGTTTGCCATAAGTTGGTGACAACTTGACAACACATGACGACAACAAATCTGCACATATGAACTAGCGAGTGGAATCATATAACACTGTATTCTTTATTTGGCTTGCAAATTGGAAATTGCAGTTCCTCTTATTCTTTTTGCCGGTGCCTGAGCCAGCTACATGCTGACAGTCATGGTGGTGGCAGTGTGAGCTGGAGATTTGCTGGTCAGGGGTTGGAGGAAAGCAAGATGGCTGTGTGGGTAGGGAGGGATGGCTGGGTTTTTCCCCATCTCAGATTTATATGTGAGTAAGAGAAGAACTTGTGGACTCATACATAAGACCCACCTTGCAGCTGAGATGAACTCCATGACTTACTAAGGCTTGTATCTCAAGCCCTGAAATGGAGAAGCTCAATGCTAGCTCTAATGAGGAGGGCACCACACTGGCCCCACCTGCCTTCCCCATAGTGCCCCGCCAGTCATAATGAGTGGCATTCTGGTAGTCTCTAAGAAAAGCCTGCTTGTTTGAAAACAGCTTGTTTCCATTTGCCTTGTGGAGAAACAGACACACTAGAAGGATTATCAGTGCAATCTTGCAGCAGGGATCAGCTTCCTCAGCGTGGAGTCTGTCGTTAACGTCAGCAAGGCTGACTGCAGCTTGTGTCAGGCAAACGTAGCTCAACAAAAACACAAAGCTGTCAAACTGAGTGTACAAAGATGGCACAGGGAGGAAAGGCCTCTTCCTTGTGAGTAAAGCACTTGTCATGGCTGCCAGGAGTCCCGCTAATTACACAGCAACTTTATTATACCCTACTTGGAAGAACAAACAATACTTGAAGTCTTGAAAAACAAGTGGGCCTTTTTAAAAATTATATTTGCTGTTGCTTTTTCAAACAATAGATTAATGCTTTCAGAGTCTGTGTTCTTTGGATGCTCTCAGACGTGCCAAGGGACTCAAACATCCTGATGTCTCTGCTTTTGTTATCTGTGTTCCATAATAAAGTAATTGTGTAATTAGAAATAGATCAGGCACAGAAGAGAGATTTCCCCTCCCTTCCCTCAGGTAAAAGACAGACCTTTTGAATGTGTTTGAAGTGTGAATGTAGCGATTCTTCCTCAACTCACCTTGACCTTCTGTTGGCTCCTGGCAGCTTTGACTAGACAGAAGAGCAACTTCTGCAAGTATAGATTTTTCTTCCCTCTGCTGTATGCATCAATTAGGGTTCTTTGATTAGGGTGCTGAGGAGTGTGTTAATTCCCCCCTTTTTTCCCTCTCATCTAAGCTTCCTCATATATTTTATGATCCTACCAACCACTCAGACATGCCAGAAGCTGGGAAATGTCAGGCCAAGGAAGCTGCACATGATTCCGAGTGGACATGTGCTTCTTTTTTATGTAGTAGTGCAGTAGAAACAAGACTTGTAGAGGCAGCACACCTCAACCTTTGGATTAACAGAGATGATGGTATAATCTGCCACCTCCCTGAAATGCATTGCGCAGATAAATTTAGGGTGCAATCATATTTGCATAAGAACAAAAGAAGACCCTGGGTTCAAGTCTGTTCTTAGTGATGAGGCTTGCTCCATACACTTTGGCCAGTCAATATGACCTCTCTCAGGATTGTTGTGGGGATAAGTGCATGAACACCTGCACGTGTAGCCATATAAGCTGCTTTGAGATTAGGGGTGTATGGGAATGTGGTTCATTTATCCTCTGAACTTCTGTTTGCACCTCCAGAACACAAATGCAAGCATGTTTTTGCAGAGGAAACCCATAAATTTCTGGGTATGCTAGCATGTTCACAAAATACATGGTATAGAAAAATGTGCTCTTTAAAATTTTACATTTTGGGGAAAATATACACAAGGACCATTTTGTGGTCCATGGTTGAAATATATATGATGATTCACTCTTTAAAAGCTCATGTTCTTAAATGTGTACTTTTTTTGTTCGTAAGAAAGCTCTTAACTGGGAGTGAGACAGTGAAGCAGACTGAGTGCTGACATGGGGCAGGGGAAATCCTCAGCGAGTTCAAGTCTTGCTAACTTTATTTTTTTATTTATTTATTTATTTATTTATTTATTTATTTATTTATTTATTTGAACATTTCTATGCCGCCCCTTGCCGAAGCCTCGGGGTGGCTTACAACACAATAAAATACAAAAATAACAATATCAAATTAAAATTAACAATTATAAAAGATATAACTTTCCCATGTCTACTTGAAATCTAAGCACATAATGACAATGCATGCACATGTATCCCACCTGGTAGTTTAGACTGAAGCAGCAGACGCTGGAACTACAGTGTGGAGTGGTGAATAGGAAGGGACAGAGGCATGGAGAATTTCCTAAGGAATCCAGAAATTAAAATAAATCCAGTTTGAGCCAGGCACTGCCAAAGTGGGTGACTTGTTCAGTTGCTCCAATGTAAAGATGGAAGTATATGTTGTGGATTTGCATTTCCATTCATATTTCATGGACTGTCATTCCATCTGTGTTCTGTGGATTGTCCCATTATCACCTCAGTGACCGAACTGGATATTTTAGGAATATATGAGGATTTTGTTCTTGTTTGCATCTGTGCAGTTATATATCTATGCTAAAGCATAGTGTGCAATTGGACATTTGTGAAAATCCATTCAAACAGCATGCAAGTGGGCTGCAAGTCTGCAGAATCCAGGCAGTGTGGGAAAGGGCCATCTGCGATGGAATCTGCAGGTTCACGTCACAAAAGTCTAAACACATTTGAGTCCATGGCTGATTTCTTCAAAATCTCTGTTTCGGTGTCTCTCCGCAGCCAACACAGTCAATCAAGAACTAGTACAGATGTTTGGGATGTCAAGAATATTAATATCACAGCGGCAAGTGTCCTGCACCTTGTCTGTATTGTTCCAAACAGCTATCAGTGTGTGTTAGGGCCTATCACATTATGAATTCAAGTGCCAAGGCGTGGATGGGTTGGGGAAAAAAGTTACACATCAGTAAACACAAACACATGATGTTATCAATTTCTGAGTGATGTAGGATCTGATAGGAAACTCATGAAACAGAATACATTCCACACAATGCAAACAACATTGAAAGTGTGGTTATAAGGGAAAACATTCTTGATGTAGAAGGACAGCTGATATATGTGGTTTAGGGTCTTTGCATGACTTTTCTGTTTTTTGTTTTTTTGTTTGTTTTTACAGGTCCTGTGGCTGTGATCAGTGGGGAAGAAGATTCTGCTAGCCCTCTGCATCATATCAATCATGGCATCACCACACCTTCATCGTTGGACTCTGGGCCAGATACAGTGGTGATTGGCATGACACGGATTCCTGTTATTGAGAACCCGCAGTATTTCCGGCAGGGCCACAATTGCCACAAGCCAGACACGTGTAAGTGTGTGTGTGTGTGTGTGTGTTTGCTTTCCTTTGTATGTCAAGAAGAAGAAAAAAAGGTAAGCAAGTAAACAAGCAAACAGGAAGAAGGGAAGAGCTTGGCTTGAAAAAGCATTAGGGTTGGAAATGGAAGATAGTGGCTCTTGTACAGTCCAGAAACCAGAAAAGAAACTTGTGTCTCTCAAATCTCAACATGTATGTAGATCTGCCTCCCACAACCTGATGCTCATCTCTAGGTGTTTTGGGCTTTGAACCCTATCCGCCCCAGTTAGCACATATGACATTCAGGAATTCTGTTGGTCTAAAACACCTGATGGGCAGTAGGTTGGGGAAGGTCAAGGCAGATGCTGAAAAAGGCATTCACCATCCAATAATCAGTGCCTGTGAATGTGGCACTGACTTTCTAGATCTTACCTGGCTTGAGTCAATTGCACAGGAGCCCCCAGTGAGTGAATCCATAGGGCCAGGCCAGGCCTATAGAGGTCTGTCCAGTGCAATGAGAAGACTTCAGCCCTAAATAGGAGACAAATAATATCTGTCTTCTTGGACTTTCCAATGGTTGTGGCACCAGAGCTGTTCCCTCAAACAGTGGATGCTGCTCTGAAAGATGGCAATACAACAGTAGGCAAAAGATTTCCTCTGCTTTTGTTGTGCCTTGAGATACAAAGGCAAGAAACCACTGGGGATAATGAGAGCAGCAGTGAACATGTTTATCCAAACAGAGAGATTACAATTCCTGTTATTGCATAGAAATAAAATAGTGAAGAAGACTTGGCTCTTGAAACTTCAGCCACATTATCCAAACCTTCCAATCACAAAGACTGCTGAAACAAACAACTAGAGGAGAGCACCAGACATCTGCAAGTAGTCCAGGAACAGGAATGTCCTTTATAGAAAGATGCTGACACTTATACTTTCCATTAATAACCCCAATATTGTTGATTTTTAAAAGGTTGATTTTATGTCATGTTATTCAGAAGCAACATACTTGTCAGTGCACCTTTGCCTCCTAAGCAGGGCCGATTGGCATTATTAAGTTTACAAAACAGTGCATTTATGGAACCATTATGACATCTTCATCCCCAGTGGTTTAATGTTTGTCCTGAACTTCTTATGGGCTACCTCCTTTTTATCCCTGAGCTCCTTCTATTAAAAGACAGAACATCGTTGGGTGATAACACAACCTTTCCAGTTAATCAGGAGCCCACATAACCCACAGCAATTTAAACCTGATTCACATTGAGCAATTCAAACCTGATCTACCTCAGTCTCTGGATATACCCTTGACTTTTCAGGTTTCCCCAAATGGCTCCAAACCAAACCATATGAAAGGTTCCATCTCCTCTTTTCAACCTGTCCCATATGCTTTTCATTCATGTGCTGCCATTGTCTGTGTTTCTTGCTTGGTCAGGACTAAGGAAAATGACTGTTGCAATGCTCATAAAGGCAGAAAGTATCAGATACTCTATGTGAAAGTGCTCTGCCGGTAGATTCCTGGTCTTGTATTTGCTGGTCTGTTAGGTTCAGAAGTGGGGCTTGCAAAATGAGGTTAGGAGTTGTTGCTTTTTAGAGATCCTGTTAAATGAAGGCAGAAGTTCTACACTGTTTTAGTGGGACTGAAAGCTATTCAGGATAATCCTGTACTTGTCTACTCAAAAGTTCAATTGAATTTAATTCCAGGTAAGTGTGCATAAGCTTGCATATCTAGTTTGCTCAATCAGTAAATAAATAGGGCTTTGAATATTTTGAATGTTTTGAATATTTACCACTCTAGATTTTTTTCAAATCAAAATTGGCAAATTCGTAGCATTGGACTCCCTTTCACTTAGATATACATTTATTCAGTCATCTTGCATGCTCTTCGTTCCACTGGATGCTGCTGCTGCTGCTTTGGTTCCATCTGCCTCCTCTTTTCCCCGTCTTATCCTTTTCTGAATTAATCACAGGGATCATTCCACCCCATTTAAGAACCTGTTATGAAAGGGAAAAAATTCACATATATGGCCAATCATTGTTGACTATCCAGTGGCATCAGTAAAGGCAAAAGAATTTAACCAAGGGCACATCTCCAGAGAATATTGAAAAATCACATAAATCCACCCCCCCACACACACACACACTGTCCTACTGCCACTTACACCATTTGTGGGGAAAAATAAGCTGCAGTTTCTGTTCAGTTCTTGTAATTGGGAAACCAATTTTAATTTGTGGGGCTCACATATGAAAAAATGGTTCTGCTTGGTAGCAGTATTTTCATTGTTATTTTAATTGTGAGAACACTGTTCCAAATCCTGAAAGCCACTGTGAGTACCATTTTAGAGGAAGGAAGGGCAAACGTGCTTCAAAACCAGTCAATTTAGTCAGATCAAAACTTTTCCTAAGGGTTTTCTAAATATTTCATGTGAGTGGTATTGGGTGCTCTGCGAAAGCAACAGCAATCCTAACCAGTAGCTAAAAACAAGGGAGATGATAGTCAAGAAAATCGTGCCAGCCGTTATTATGAAAGACATTCCTGAGTTAATTTTTTCACGCCCACTAGGGCGAACATTGGTGGCCCTTTGAAAGGGGGTTGGTTCAGACACCCAGTTATGTATATTACATTATTTGCTTTCCCTCCCCGATGGTGGATCATGCTGAAAGTCTAAGTGTTAGAATGGAGCTAGTCTTCTTCAGGCTTGATAAGGTAAGTCTTGGAATATTTGCATGAAGAGCTCAAGGACTGATGCCAGCCACATTTGGTGTTTGGTTTAGAATATACATTTGCTGCACTCATAATTGTTAGCCAGGTCCTTCAATGACTTCTCATCAGCATTTTCCTCCGACTTGAGTCAAGATCGGAGTCGTAGAAGATGCTCCAAATGTGCTCCACCGTCTCATTCATGGGTACATTTGGAGATCAGGTCATAATGTGTCCTACTTTATGGAAGGGAGTGTTTTGTATGAAGCATCCTCTTCTAGTTTGCAATGAAGAAACCAGAAGGAGGAGGGTAAATGGAGGCCTTGCAGTCTTGTTTAAACACTAAGAAGCAGAGGGGTTCATTGCAGATGAACTGTTGCCCATCAGCAACCGGCACCTGGACAACGGACTGGCCAGGCACATCAATCCTGTGGTGTCACAGTGTTCCTCATAGTGGCGAGGTGCATTGCACATCTGTTTAAATGATAGCAATGGTTTCTGCATGTGCGCATGTGTCTATAAACTAGCGCATGCATATGTTATGCAAATCTGTGCTTGGTGATGTGTTTCTTCTTTTTCGCAATGCATGAGTGGTCCTCCTTTTGGAGACCTGATTGCATATTTGATTATTCTTAGTTTTCAAACTTCGAATTGCATTCAAGGGGAGTGGGGAGAGTTGTTTTTCTGATCTTTCGGAATAATAGAATGGCTTACTGTTCCCAGACTGAACTGCCTCCCCATCACTAGTGATACAGGCCTTTCAGGGGGAAATTCATTGCAATTTCACTCTTTTCAGCCTGAACTAAAATGAGAAATAAGTGTGCATTAAGAGCTTGTTAAAATAAAGCATCTTTTGCAGCGAACATCATTCCTTTCTCCCGTGATGGAATGTTTCCCTTGGGATAACCCTATGCTTTACAAGCACAATAGCTGGGGAGGGGAAGAGGGGAGGCTGAGGACCCTACTCTGCCGTCAGCGTATGCAACTTGCTCGAGCACTGGGATGTGTCCATGTAGTTGCACTCATCCTTCAGTTCGGCTAATGCATTCCTTTCTGGTAGTGTTTCTAGTGAGGAAGTGGGGCAGTTCTCTCTGGGCAGTGAAAGAAAATGGAGAGACTGCAGGTAAGCAGCATTTATTTTCTAGGTCAAAAATGCTCAGTCTCTCTCCTTCCATATTCTTAGAATATACTGCATAGAGCATTCTCTGAACTGTGGTGGCCTGGCATTTGTGCCTTTTGTAAAACATGCCAACTATCATGCTTAGGTGAATGAAGTTGACTCAGTGGATCAATGTTTGTAATACATCAGGAAAGCCCCATTTGGCCAGCCGTAGGTTTCTGAATTGCCAGAATTTTATAAAGTACAGATGTGTGGCACTGAAATATTTCACAGAGGTTCAGATTAAGGCAAAAAGGGAGTCAAGGACTCATGAGCTCCAGTTCAGTGTTGGAGCTTTGGTTGGAAAATCTATGATGCAGCCACCTTGCTGAACCTAGCCAAGCCTGGGACATAGATACTATAAATTTATTTATTTGATTTTTAGCCACACTGTTCCCTGCATTTGTTACAAACAATAAATGATGTAAAAATAATAAGTACAACATTAATAACTTGAAGATATGAAACACTTAAATAACAATAAAACATACCCATGTCACATCTTAACAGAACCTATGTTTACATACAAGGCACAACTACTCTCTATATTAAAATATAAACTTAAAAAACCTAACTAACAATTTAAATACTTGCAAAATAAAAAAGTCTTTTCCTGAAAGAGCACAAAGGTGCCAGGCAAACCTTTCTGGGGAGCTCATTCCAAAGTCGGGGTTCCACTCTTGAAGGGGTGTGAAGGTTCATATGGAAAGAGGCACTGCTTTTCCCAAGCCATTTAGGGCTTTCAACACTAATGTTCACACCTTGAATTGGACTCAGGCCTCAGTAGCTAGTGGAAGTGGTAGAGGACTGGCTTTTATGCAGCAGCCTGGCTACCCAGCTATGGACCAGTTGAAGTCTCTGGACCATCTTCAAGAGAAGCCCCATGGAAAGCACATTGCAGTAATCCAGATGAGAGGTTACCAGTGCATGAATAAGTGTTGCCAGTCCTGCCTGTCCAGATGGGGCCTCAGCCAATATATCAGAAGTTGCTCCTGACCACCAAATCCACCTGGAGTTCCACCAATAATTTGGGGTCCAGGAACATCCACAAACTACCTTTAGGAGGAGTGCAACCCTGTCTGGGACAGGCAAGATGGCACCCATCTGAACAGAAGATCCCCCAACCAATGGTTTCTCCATCTGGATTGGATTAAATTTCAG